TTAAATGATGCACTAGGTCTATATTTATTCCATTCACATTTTCTGGAACTTCCACCCGGATAAAAATAACGGAAATCGAATCGCATCGCACTAAAAGGCCCTACCATCGTCCCATCCTCCCGCACTACGGACGTGACGTGGCGTGGTGTGCGCGGCGCGGCGCGAGAATCGATACGTGTCAACCCTCGATACATCCCCGCCGGAAGCGGAAGCGCGTGAGTGAGCCGGTGTCCGCCGAGGCGCCCGCGTGTCAACGCCCGTCGCCCTCGCGCAGGGGGCCGTGCGCCGCCTTTGGCCTCTCCGGCACGCAAGTGCGAGTGCGACTGCGGAAAATCTCCCCAGATTTACTCCCTTCGTCGTCAGACGCAACGGCGTGCGTGGGAGTGCACGGGACGCGGGCGGCGGAGGGCGAGGTTGCGAACAGAAGTCGAGGGCAGCGGCTTAGTGGCAAGGGCAGCCTCCGGAACGAGGCTGGGAGTGGCAGTAGTGGAAAAGGTGATGGGTAGTGTCGTGACTTGGGATTATTGCCAATGTCCCAGAAGTCAATAGGCACTCATAGAAGCTTGAAGCGTGTTGGGTGGATATAGGATTTTAAAGGACGTAGAAGTAGCAATTTGTCTCTAGAGTACTTCTGAATATTTTATTTTGTTAGTGATTCCGGGCGCATGAACTACTAGGGCCCTTACTCCTGTAAGTGTAGTACATGTTTTTGTTTGGGAAGAGGCGGTGGTGTTCCCCCGCTGTATGGCGAGATCCGGAGCCGACCTAAGGTAGCCTAGAGGGGTTTTCCCCTACCAAATATCTCCCACCAGTGGGACACAGCCCCAGTCGGGACAAACTAAGTTCCCGGCCGGACTCTAGGCATGTGCGGTAGTGTTGTGCATGTTAGTGTATGGGTAAGGGGTGGGGGTAGGACATGGAAGAGGCAGGAAAGATCGCGCACGGTCCGTGGCCCGATTGTATAGGGTACTGCTCCGGCATTCGCGTGGTGTTGATCGGAGAAACCACGGGAATCTTTCGATTAGATCAGGCGGTCGCTAGAATTCTACTCCAGATTGCGAATGAATTCGACCTCGCTGACAAGCTAGTGAAGAAAATCCTGGCGTCGTTGGAACTCGAACCTAGACCCTCCCGGTCAGAGGTACTGCAGTAACATCAGTTTATGCCCTGAGCCATCTCTCCCGGTCTCTAATTCTGATGTTTAAGAACAAATGTTGGGATATTATTTTCAATACGAGTTTGTATGATAGACCATTGTTCGTCTTTTGAGTCCCATCTTCACCAATACGTTACTACGAGTACGTTGTGTCTTCACATAATTATTATTCACCATATTACGATTCTAATTTAGTTTTGTGACTGATGACATTAACAGTCCTCATCGAACTTCACAAAAAATCATCCACCGTTACAAAACGTGCCCCTATAATGTTTGTATCATAAAAACCATGACGATTCGCTAGTTAATATGACGCAACGAATAACAGAAGGACGATATTTAGGGAGACGTCATAAATGTCCTTTGTGGAATCGACCGCAAACGAATGAGGTAACAGACAAAAACATGGGCACATGGAAAGAGGCGAACAGTGAGTTGGACTGCGAGGGTTGAGAGCAAGACGGCGGCTAGGCGGCGGTGATGAGGCTGTTGGCGGCACTCTATTTGCCGTCGGCCCGGCGCCTCCGCAAACAGACACGCCGAGGCACGCGCCTCGTTTTTCCCCTGTTTTCGCGCGGCGGCGGCGGCGGCAGCGAGCGGCGGCGGAGGTGGCGGCGGTGGCGGCGAAGGCATCCATTGTGCTGGAGGCGCGGGGGCGGCTGGCGCGCCGCCAACTAGAGCGGTCCCCAGAAGGGAGGGTGTTAACAACATCTTTATTAGCGTGTGTTGTCTGCCGATGCGTCGTCGTTCTTGCGTGCCGAGCAGCCTGAGGAGAGGCTGAGAGTCGATTTCGTTGCCCTTCATTTCATTATTCTGCAGCTCTTGCGTTTCGATGAACGTCTATAAGCAGCTACGTAGATAAACACAACACGTGCGTTAATCTATCTCTCGTTAGTTAACTTTTCATCCACAAACACTAACGTTTTTCAAATTAATGAAATTTATTTGACTCGTATTGGTATTGTGTGTGTTGGGAATGGTTTGTTGAAGAGTTCCGATTGCTCTTGAATATATAGGATATAAGAATAAAAACCACGAGATCACCAAGAAATGAGAGTTAGAATGCAACAAAGTAGAGTAGAACGTGATCAAACAATACCACAATTGCAATAAGAAAAGTACGCAAATCATTATCAAGGCCCTTAGACACTTTAAAATATCGTGTATAATATACAATAGTTGTATTTATAAAAGAATGCATCAATACGTTTGGAGTCATAAGAACTAATGTACGAGAAGATGAAATATAAGCTGCTATGCTTCGTGAAACGTCTAATATATACACGAAGACCACGACGCTTTCAGAAATCACAGCATTTAGAATGAAAAGTAAAGGTTCAGACGGTTCGCAGCAGCATGCGCAGTCCAAGACTTCATTTTGTCAAATCCAAGTGAGGAATGCGAGAGTTGCTGCTCGGGCAGGAACAGGGCAGGACATCGAAGAGAGGCGGAGGATTTGTAACGGAGCCCCAGCGGCGCAGAGACGGGCGCGGGCGCGGGCGAGGGCCCGTTGCAGTTATTGCCGGGGGTGGGGATGGCCGCCTGCGTTGACGGACGAGTGGCCGCGCCGGCGTTTCGGGCAGATTAAGCGACTTCGATGGCGGACACGTCCGTGGGGGCCCCCGAGCGGCCGTCTTCGGAGGAGATTGGCCGTGTCGGACACTGATTGTATTTTTTATTGCCGCTCGATGATAGTTTGTTCCCAAGGAAATGGAGAAGTGTATTCTGTATATTCAATAAAGGGAGTTATCCTAGTAATGGATATACGAAACAATATATAAGGTTAGTATTTTGTTTGGGGGATGCAAATAGAGAGAAATAAGAAACTTAATATTTTTAGGGACAATAGAAATAACGCATTTTCTCCACCGACATTATCATTATTCTTTTGTACGGTTAATAAACACATTGCTTACAAATATTTTATCTGGGGTACTCAAAATTATTGAAGTTGATCCTCTGATAATCAACTCACGCACTTTGATGTCCTCGTGTTTTTACGTCATGTGTAAATATCCTTTGATTTTACAAACTGGCTTCTTAAATTTCAAATTTATTCATTTTCTTCATTCAATATCCAAAATTAATAGGAAAGAAATGAGCTGACTTGTTTACTAACGGAAAACCAACTGTTAAGAAAACATCTTGTTTACTTCATCTCCACAAATTTTATAACCAGAATTGCATATGAACGCACATATAATACTTAGAAGATTTATAAAATCCGAAATCTGCAGAGGACAAGTGCGTAGAGGGTGAGAGATAGCGTTGGCGGTGGCAGCTACCTGTTGAGGCGGCATCCTCGCCGGCGGGGGCGGTGGGCCCTCGCAGACGCTGATTAAGAGCCCGGCGGAGCCCTCTCCTGCCACATCGTCCCCGCCCCGCCCCGCCGCCCCCGCCCCGCACGTCGAGGGCAGCCGGGGAATCCGCTTTTTTTTAAAAAAACCCTCTTCCCTCGTCGCGGGTCCTTCAGCGGCGGCGCACAAAAGCCGGCGGTTTTTCCTTTCCTCTACCGCACCCTCCGACGGCGACGCCGCTCCGTCACCGCCCCGCCCCTCCCCGCGCCAGTCGACTCAAGTGCCCCGCTGCGCCGCACCAACCGCCACAGCCCTCGCCTGCAACGTCGCTAATTGTACCTGTGCTAATGAAGGCTTCTCCACGACCACTTGCGCGCTGAGCACCACCACGAAGAATATACCAGTGTGTTCCTCAATGTACGGATTCGCATTCGGGGAAATGTTGGAAATACTCTACGGGCTTTATGTTCAATTTAGAAACACATCAGCGAGTGTGAATTAAAAACGTGCCTTATATAATATATCCAGTATACAATTGCTCTTGAAGCTTGTATGTTTTAATATATCACGATAACGGCCTTTCGGTAACAGAGACTTTTTACAATCGCGAGAAAATCCTACCCACAACGTAATCAGATTAGGGTTAGCCCGTATAAAAATAATTTTTTTTATTAAAATCATAAGAAAACGCTATAAACCGGATCAACTGATCGAGCAATGATTTTTTCTTTGAGAGACTTATTTCAATCTTTAGAACCTCATCCGACAATTTTTGTGCAGCAAACTGTGAAGTGAAATAAGGGTTTAACAATTTGACAGACAAGAATCAAGTAATAGCAACAATTCTTGAGAAGCTGTGCGAATTGGTTGGTGAAAATATTAAAATGAAGAAAGCTCAATATGTAGAAAATTTACCCAGCAAGGGCGGTTTTTGTGCTTCCATTCAATGAAGGTGTGAGTTCACAACGTATGCAATGAATATGACATATCTACTAATAATCTTCCAACCAACATCTACTTGTTTATCATCGAGGATTTCATTACTCTTGTACTGAACTCAGTTAAGAGTAGAGTAAAGTATAATCAATTTATATTAAAGATGCATTTTCTCACAATACATTCTTTGTTTGTGAATTGATCAAATTTAACATTCAAATAAAATAAAATTATTTATACAAAGCCAATAATTAATGGAAAATATTAAGGTCAATGAATCCAATACTTTTTTTGTTGATGTAAAAAGAAACTGAAATATAATTCTACATTCTACACATGTTTGAATATCAATCAAAGCAAGTTCCAAGCACACCACAAGCACAGACGTTGTGAAGAATCGAGCCCAAAACGAAACGTCTGAAGCACGAGCCCCGTCAGCGGGCTTCTGGAGGGCAGGAGCGCGGGCGACCCGAGGCGTCTCGAGGGCGAAGGGCGGCGGGCGGCGCATTCATGGGCGGCGACGCGGCCACAATGGCGGCGCCTGCCAGCGGCGTCGAATGGACGCGGCCGCCGCGCGCCCTCGCCGCCCGCCGCGATCCGGCTTCGCATTGACCTGCCCGGCGCTACAAGGCGCGTGGCGAAAATGGAACTGTGCGGGCGAGCACCGCGAGATTGGCAAAGAGTGACGCAACGACTAGAAAAGCCAAAGGACTGCCTTACAGACGACTTTCTTGGAGGAGAAACGACCTTACAACAAAATTGTGTAAGTTTATACCATGAAAATTCAAGTTACAATGAAGGATAGTAAGTAACGTTTTAGACGTAATATTGACAATACTATTTTTTACAGAGGCTGATTGATAGGTACTTCCTTTACAACAAAAGAACAGAATGTATGTTAGAAAGAAGCCTGTGTAATATTTCTTTCATCACACCAGCTGACACTAGGTGAGGATCGACATAGTGAAGCGGGATAATCTTGTGAGGTAGTAATGAAGTTGGTTGACAACGAAAAAAAAAACTTATTAAAAACTTAAAAATATTCTCGCAGTTATTTTCAACATTGATTACCATATAACTTGTAATACCACAGATAATTACAAAATTGTCTGTGAACATCATGATTTTTGGTAACCTTCCGGTGGAGGTCCCAGTGATGTTTGCAAACAAAATGTAAATGTTACTGCTTATCTTCATTATATTAAAAGTACTGACCTGGAGTCTTGAATGTATCAAATACTATTTGTTGCTAATCACTGCTCCGGGATCTATGTGAAGCTCAGCACTTAGCTGGTACACTACACTTGGCGATCGCGCTACAATGTTACGCAACCTCGTCCTGCAAAGTTCTCTCCTTCAAGAAATTATGCCGACTGGGCTGAGTGTCGTGCTGTAAAACCGTTCGGCCGTCGAGGGGGGTGGGGTACCTTTATTAGTTGACCATTCAGCCGCTAGGGGTATCACTTCATTTCAAAATCTGAGATTCAGCAAACCCACTGATTATTCCTTTACCCAACGATTCAATATACAAGCTTCTTATCTAACAGGAAATAAAGGATCAGAAGTTACTATTGAAAAATTGAATCCGTTACTTGAAATATGTAGAGCTGTAAGGAAATGGACGAGGAGATAATTCGATAAATTATAAGGGAAGAGAAAATAAAGAGACAGAGGATATTGGAAGTTCTATAGTATGAGACACATGATGTGAGCCATTCGATGAATTACGGATGAAAGGTCTGTGAACGGAAGAAAAAGAAGCGAAAAATGGGAAACCCGGACTAGAGCGGATGCCTGCAGAAGGTAACCAGGAGCACCAGGTGTTGTGTATCCGCGTGGAGGCGCTTGGCATTGCCTTGTACGTCTTCCCCCGCTGCCGTTGCCTGGCCGCCGGAGCCGCAGTCATTGCGCGGCCCCGAGGCTCCTGAACGACACCTAACCTCGCCCGGTTCGCGGGGCTTCTCACAGGTGGAAGTCAGCGAGAGATAGATACTCAACGCAGGTGGTGCAAATGCATGATGCCCAATGCGAGTTCAGGTATTCATGCCTTTTCGCCTCAATGGAATTAAAATTATATCAATTAAAAAAATTACTTTATTACACGAACAATACTCTAATATAAATATGAATCCGTAACCATTATTGTGACAACATTTACTAATATATTGCATGTAAAAAATCCGAGTTGACAATTAAGAAATATTTAATACCAGTTGTTTGCGCTAGGCAGAATACTGTAGGATAAATTTCTTAATTTCATTGATGTTTTGATGTAATTTTCTTAAAACAGGTAAAAAAACATCAATTCGACATGATCTATATGATAGTTTCAGGTAACGTAAAACAAAAGATAAATAGACGCACATTGATAAATAAGATTAGAAGATGTAATAATGCACGTTCAAATACAGCACATATTTTCTCTTATGTTAATTTACCACCAAATAAAATGTCACTTGAATTACATCTTAATTAAATATATATGCTATTTCTAGTTTTCTAGAATAATAGTCCTTCGCGCTTCCTTGAATGAACCAAAGTGCCCTACGCAGCGCCCGAAGACGAATAGCCATGCACTTGGAGCAAGCCGGCGCGCCCCTCCGCATCCGAGGCAAGGCGGTCCGCAAGGCGCGGGGGCCAAGGCGGCGAAGGGAGCGGCGACACCGGCGCCTAAAAAACGCGCGCCCATCCGCGCGCCGCCCTCGCGCCGTCGGCTCGTTAGTCGCGCTGTCAGCCGTTAATTGCGCGCCGACGGTGACGCCGCAAGTCGCCGCAGACCGCGCTCCCGCCCGCTCGCCTCAGTGTGACGCGCTCGCGCGTGGGGCCTGCCCGAGAAGGCGGACGCCGATGGGGAGGATGGGCGGTGGCGATGATGTGCAAGATGAGAAAATGAAGACGACGATGGTAGAATTTGCTGAATGGATGGCGAATGTTCAGGATTGATGTTTCCGAACACGTCAACTGCTGTGGCCATTAACCTCGTTGGTAGTGTAGAGAACGCTTTATTCCGAAAGGCGGCGGTGTTCCTACTCCTTCTGAAGGGTGAGGTCTGGCGCCGACTTACATGGCGCCTTGGGATTTTCCCTCTGCCAGATATCTCCCCCTGGTGGTTGTCGTCCCAGCTGGGAAAAGCTCGAATATTGTGACCGGTCGTTGGTCAAAATGAATTTCTGCTGAAAATTCACCGTTTTCCGGACCACGAATACAAACGAAGTAAGTGAGGGAAAGTAAAAAAGAAATGCAATAATATACAATAAAATAAATGTTATAATGCTTGAATAAACATGTTTTAATTAAATAATTGTCACCAAGTTCTCAATTCTCAGGTCACAAGAGCTCGTTGCAACCGTTAATTTTAACCAACTATGACGAATTATAACGACAACATAAGGCCGTTCGCAGCCAGGCACTCATGCAGCCCTTCGCAAACAGCCTGCGCCACTCACGCAGTACGCAGCGCGTCAAATAACTCCCGGCGCCTAACAAAGAGCCTAGGTGGCGGCGGCGGCCGCATGGGCGGTCGACACGGGCGGCGCGCGCACCTCGCCGGCCGCGTGATTTACTGCGGGCGGTGGGCGAGCGGGCGGGCGACGGGGCGGCCGGAGCGCGGAAATGCGGAAACGCGCGAAGGCCGACGCCGAGGAACGCGAGGGGGAGCGTCCCGCGCGCCTCCCTTGACATCGCCGTCCCCTCCTCCCCCTCACCCGGCTGCGCACGTCACCGTCAGCGCTCACGCCCCGCCGCCGCCGCCGCGCCTGCTCCAACACCTTCCACGGCCTCCTCCGCATTCGGCTCCTTCCTGCCACGCCGCGGCATCCGTTTTTTGCTTTCCTCATTTGCTGCAGCTACTTTTAAGACTTTACAATGAGGTTAATTCCATTGGAATATTTACTACTTTCTATTTAATAACTGCGGTTTCTTCAATTTCTCAATTTTCTCACCTGTTAATTTCTTTTTCTTTTTATTTTCGTATCCTTCCTATTAAATTTTATTTCGTGAAAACCATCATTATTGTACCAATGAAAATACCGGCGAAAGATCTTCAGTCTGAAACAAATACTACAAGAACCAATTTCTTTTGTTGCTTTATAAATTTTCTGTCGATAACCACTTTTAGCTTTTATCGTATTAGTGCCAGATACTACGATACATTATTCAAATAGATACACTTTTACTGTAACCCATGTTTCTTATATAGCAAGCAGTCGTAAACTGCCTAATCTTTCTTTGCTTCTCCCTCTTCATTTACATTATTCTTTCAACATTACCTTAAATAATTTTCAATAATATCCTTTGATAATTCAGATTAACCCTCTTGCTCAGCCTCTTCTTAACTGTGCTTCACTCGTTTACTCTCTCTACCTTCCTCTGGTCTGTTTCGCACCTCATCCCAGACCCCACATTTCGCTTGCCCTTCGCGTTTGCACCACCTCCCTCGTATGAGTCTTCTCCTCCTCCGGGCGCTCTCCGGGCAACAGTCTCGGCGCCATCCGGCCGCCGCGGCGCCTGCCGTGGCTGCTGCCTCCGCAGCTCCGCGCCGCCCGCCTGCACCCTTCGTGTTAATTACAGCCCTGTCACGGCCAGCGCGGCGGCAGTGGCGGCGGCGGCGGAGACGGCGGCTGCTGGGGAGACGGGCGGGGGCGGTGGCGCGGGCGGCGGAGACGGCGGCTTACTGCCGGGCGCCCCAGGATTAGCGCGGAGATTTCTGGGGCTGCGGTGGCGGCGGCGGTGGGCGACGGTGGCGGGGACGGAGGCGGGAGCGGCGCTGGCAATATCGTTGGCATGCCAATACCGGCCTAATCCTTGGCGCTGCCGACGCGCTGACGGATACAGCAGTGGCGGTGGCGGTGGCGGCGGGGACGCGAGTCGTCGCCATCCGACGCACGTCCGCCCTCCGCCGCCGCCGCCGCCGCGACCCTAACCGCCGTCAGCAGCCCCACAGAATGCGCGTCTCAAAGTCAACACCCCCCGCGGTGCGCGCGCTCTGCGGTGCAGCCCTCTGCGCGGGGCGCGGCGGGACGTGTGACTTGGGACATTCGTTCTGTGGTTGGCAATTCATTTCTGCTTTCCGGGTTATTCGCGGGGCGCTTGACACCGACGGATCTGGAAGGGATGTATTTCTCCATGGCATCTTCGGATTTTAGAGGATGGAGTGGCCTAGAATGTCAATCTCTAGCACTTCGGAATTAACGGAATGACGCGAGTTTTGAAAGCACTACTGATTAAAGAGTAAGATCTGTTTGTACTTTTGCTCTTCTACATTAAAATTATTCCTTTCTTCTTCGTTTTCTCCTCTTCTATAGTAAAGTTACTTGCATTACCAAAGGGCATAAAATAAGTGCTAAACTTATCACAGAAAGAACGAAAAATTTTGAATTTAGTGTGGCCAAGGGAAGGCGATCTCCACCTAGACTTCACTACGTGTCTGAGAAACAATAAACAACGATAAATGTTCCAAACAATTTTTCAAAACGCACAAGTCCCCTAAGCTAAAAAAAAAAATTCGACAAACGGTAGCATATATAGCTATACAATTTCAATATCGCTTAAAAGTAAACAATCAAAATGATATTTTTTTGTGCGAAAAACACATTTTCTCTAAATTTGAAGATAGGAACTATTTCTTGAAGGAAACATCATTCGTAAATACCAATTCTATTCTTAAAAGTCATTTACTGTGGATTTTCGTTAGAATTTCGTCGAGCAAAGTCATAAAAGTATAATTTTAAAATGAATCACAATTGAAACAGTAAGGCAGTACATTTCTATATTCGTCATTATGGTATTCTTCGTTATGATCCCAGTTCCTAATACGTATTAATCATATCTGGAAATAATGCATAATCATGTAATGGGTACATAATTATGTCGAATTATAAGAATGACACTGAAGCAATGATGGAATGAAAAGGTAGAGAAACGGGAGAAAACAGGGAACATGTGATA